AGAAGGTCATGATCTCGTGGGGGCCGCCCTGCTGCGGCTTCTTTCTTCGAGGATTCACGTCAGCATCCTCGTCACTGTCGGGGTTTTCCTCAAAACGCCCCCCTTTCTTTCTCTTGTCTCCGGAGTGTGTGAACTTCCGGAGTTGGGAGTCATCGATCAACTTCAGAAGTGCCGAGATCATATTCCGGCACTGATCGGTGTTATGCCCGTGCGCCTTGTGGTAGGTGCAGTAGCGGGTCTTGTCTACTTTGTCTTTGTCAGTGAACATTGGCTTGGGGTCCGGCAACAACCCTTTGGCCTTAATCTCCTCGTAAACCGCCGCGGCCCCTACCGAGAAGACGCCTTGGTAGCTCTCCCTCAGTTCTTCGGCCCTCTGTCTCCGCTGAGCTCGAATCTCAGCGAAGGACTTGCTTGGCTTCCCCGATTTTTCCTCCTTTGCCTTCGCCTTTGCTGGTGCTGGTGCGGGTGTGGCGTCGAAGGTCGGGATGGAAGAGGATTCCTCCGCCATGATGTATTCCTGAGCGCGGGTGAGGAACTCTTGGTAGGTGGTCGGCTTGTTCTGGCACAGGGACCACCTGAACAGCGTCTTCGGTCTGAGTCCGCCCTGGGCCGTGATGAGCAGGGCGTCGGGGTGGCACCGCTCCATATTTTGGACCCGGTCATTGAACCTGGCGATGTAGTCCTTCAGACTCTCAGTCTCGCCCTGTACGATGTTGGAGATTGATTCCTTGGGGGCGAGATTGATCTGCGATCCAATGAAGTGGGACCGGAACGCCGACCCGAGCTGCGCCCAGGTCGAGATGGAGCGGGGGTATAAGGAATGGTACCACCTCTGCGCCTTAGGCCCCAACGTCAGGGAGAACATGCGGCAGCGCAGGGCGTCGGAGGCGCCGTGCAGGTCCATCCACGAGGTGTAGAGGCCGAGGTGTGAGTCGGGATCCGAGCTCCCGTCATAGAGGCCGAGCTGGGGTATTTGTATCCCCTTCGGGACAGCCTCTTGCAGGATATCGAGGGAAAGTGGCGAGGCGTTATCCGCGACCCGAGGAGTCGGTCGCGCACGGGTTTGTTGATGAGCTGGGAGTGAAAAATCACTCCCGGTGGGCTGCCGACCTTCCAACTCGGCAATTCTGCGTTTGAGGGCCGCGACTTCCTC